CGTTTAACTTCTAATTGCTTAAACTTTTGTCTTTCCATTATTGTTCTATTGTTAAAAATTTTTCATATAAGGTAGGAAGTTTTTCATTAACAATAATTTTGTTCCTTGTGGTTTGGGCTTTGTTCTTTGAACATAATGTTTTCAGGGTTTCATCCCATGGGCCTGTCGCTTGTTCAGTATGTAATTTCAGCCCACTTTCATTTCCTTTTGGGATTGGCTAATAAATATTCCCATCTCTGGCCAGGGGCACGTGGGGCTTCATTTTTCTTGTAAATTTCCCAGCTTTCTTTGGGGTGAGGCTTGATGGTTGTGCGCGAACATTTTCCACAAGGTTCAGGGAGGTTCAAGACAAAGGGCCTGGGGCCACAAATTGGGAAAAAACCCCGTTTTCTACTAAAAGAATACAAAACATGATTGCTGGGCCGTGGGGTGGGCAGATGCCTGTAAATCTTCAGCTTACTCCGAGTTGGGCTGAGGGAAGAGAATTGCTTGGGGGGGGAATCTGGAGGGGCAAGAAAGTGGGGCAAGTGAAGCCCCCAGGGATCATTGGCCATTGCCCACTCCCAGCCTTGGAGGACAGAGGCGAGACCTTCCCAATCACCAAAACAAAAAAAAAAAAAAAAAAAAAAATTCCACTGTCCTATATATTTAACCTATTTGTTATTCCTTTTCTTTTTTTCTTTTTTTTTTTTTTTTTAGGAACCAAGGCTTGGGGTCTGTTGGGCCCAGGCCTTAGGGTCGGATTGGGTGGCCAATTGTAGCTTCACTTTACCAGTTTCGGGCTTTCTCTTTTTTTTTAATTGGACAATCTCGGCTTTCTGGTCGCCCAGGCCTGGGGGTTGCAGTGGCATTTCTCGGCTTCCACTTGCAAGCTTCTGGCCCCCTCCCAGGTTCCACGCCACCTCCTGACCTTCAGGGGCCTTCCTCGAGTTTAAAGCTGGGACTAACAGGCCGCCGCCCACCCGCCTGGGGGCTTAAAAGTTTTTTTGTTATTTTTTTAGTAGAGACCGGTTTTCCACCGTGTGTTTAGCCCAGGATGGTTGCTTCAATCGTTCCTGACACCCCTCGTGGAAATTCCCGTTCCCAACTCCGGCCCTCCCCCCCAAAAGTGGGGTTAACAGTGGCGTTTGGAGCAACTGGGCCGCTGGCCCAGCCTTGGGGGGGGCGCTCTTAAGGCTTAAATGATCTTCTCCCACCCTTCAGGGCCCCTTTCCCCAAGGTAGCTGGGAACACTAAAGGTGTGTTACCCCACCATTTAACCCTGGGGGGCTAATTAGAAAATTTTTTTTTTCTTTTTTTTTTTGTAGAGACTGAAGGTCTTCCCCATATGTTTGCCCAGGCTGGGTCTTTGGGAAAACTTTCTGGGCCCTCAAAATCAGGTTTTCTCCTGGCCTCAGGCCTCCCCAAAGGTGTTGGGATTACAAGGCATGAGCTACCCATGCCCGTCTTTTCCTTTCATCTGTTGGTAGATGCTTGGGGGTTTTTTCCACCTTTGGGTCTGGGTTGAAATATGGTTGGCTTTATTGGGGACATTGGGTTTTAACAAAATATTATTTGAGTTTTCCTTGGCTTTGATTTCTTTTTTGGGTATTGGGTACTACTGGAGGTGGGAGTAGATTCATTAGGGTAATTTTTCTATGTTTAGGCTTTTTTGAAGGGGGAACTGCCAAACTATTTATTCATAGCAGGCTGGGCCAACATTTTACCATTTCCCCACTAGCAAAACATATTATTACAAGTTTTGAAATTTTTTTTTTTTTTTTTTTTTTTTCTTTTTTTTTTGAGGAGTCCTTTGGCTCTGTTTCCCCAGGGGGCTTGTTATGGAGGTGCAGTCGCTGGGTCTTGGGCTCACTGGGCAGCTCTAAACCCTCCTTGGTGTTCAAAACGGATTTCTTTGTTGCCTCAAGGGGCCCTCCGGTAGGGCTGAGATTTTTTACAGGGCCGATTTGGAGGCCCCCACCCATTGTTCCGGGCTTAATTTTGTATTTTTTTAGTAGAGAACGCGCGATTTCCACCATGTGCAGGGGCCTGATTCTTGAACTTCCCTAAAACCTTCAGGTAATCCGCCCCCCCTCGGCCTCTCCAAGTGGCTGGGGGATTAAGAGGGTTATGGGAGCCACCCCCGCTCTGGGGGGCCAGAATTGAACCTTAATTTAATTTAAAAAAACCCAAAGACAAGTGTCCAAGTGTGTTGCGGTTAGGAAATGGGACCCAGGGGGACTTGCTGAAGGCCGGGACCACCTTAGGGTTTATTGGGGTCTATTACAAAGGAATGTTATAAAACACCACCGATGGAAGGGAGGATGCATAGGGCGATTGATGGGGGAAGGGGGGACACAGGGCTTTTTCCCTTTTTCTCCCAACCTGGGGGGCCCCATCCTTTAGAACCCCCACCCCCAAGTTGTTCAGCTCCTCATCAGAAAGATGCCCAAACGCGGAGTTCCCCCCTGTTGGGCCTTTTATGGAGGGGGGACTTAATTTACCTTGTATGATTGGACCTTTCTGGCATTAGGGGGGGAAACTTGGTTGGGATTGGGGGGGGGGCCCCGGGCGGCAGTTGGGGGCCTCACAGCGTAATCCAAGGCACTTTGGAGGGCCGAGCGGGGCGGATTCAAACGAGTAGGGGGAGATTCTTGTGAGGACCCAATTTCCTGGCTAAACACGGGTGGGAAAACCCCCCGTTTCTACTTAAACAAAAAACCCAAAAAACAAAACAAACAAAAAAAAACAAATTGCCGGCACAAAAGGTGGGCAGGGCGCTGTAGGGTTCCCAATTGTTCTCGGGAGGCTGAGCAGGAGAATGGCGTAAACCGGGAGGCGGAGCCTTGCCGGTGAGGCTTTGGAGAAATCCGGGCCACTGCCCACTCCAGGGCTGGGCCGGACAAGGAGCGGGAGACCTCCGTCTCAAAAAAAAAAAAAAAAAAAAGGGAAACTGTGGAATGGGCAAAAAAGTGATCTGATCCTTAAGTATTACCCAGGGGACGAAGTATGGAACCCCCACCAAAGGTTTTCTGTTTTGTTTCAGATGATTCCTTGGCCCTGGTCTGTGCAGGGCATTTCGTTACTTCAAAAAAAAAAGGGGGCCAGGCCCCCTTCTGAAAGAGGGGGCCTTATGGGGAACCCGTAATCCAGAAAGAAAGTTTAAGATCAAGAAAATTTCTTTTTTTTTTTTTTTGGGAGACGGGAGTTCCTCGCTCTGTCGGGCCCAGGGGCTTGGAAGTGCAAGTTGGCCAGATTCTCAAAGGGGCTTCAACTGCAAGGCTCCGCGCTTCCCGGCGGTTTTAACGCCCATTCTCCTGCGTCCCACTTTCAGCCTCCCGAGTAGCTGGGGAC